TCAGGATAACCCTCACCAATAGGTTCCAGGCCTTTCAGGATCTACACAATGGAGAGGACGCAACGTTAGAGAACAATTGGAATGGGATTAAGGAGGCAATCACTTCAACATGTCACGAAGTTCTGGGTCACAAGAAGTACCATAACAAGGAATGGATCTCTGTTGATACTCTTGCAAAAATTGAAGAAAGGAGGAACAAGAAGGCAGCAATCAATGTCAGCCGAACAAGAGCGGAGAAAGTTACCGCACAAGCTGCATACACAGAAGCAAACAGGAAAGTAAAGAAGAGCATCAAAGCTGACAAACGAAAATATGTGGAAGATCTAGCAATGACGGCAGAAAAGGCTGCAAGAGAAGGAAACATCTGACAATTGAACGAAACTACAAAGAAGCTCGCCGATAACTATCGGAAACCAGAACGACCAGTGAAAATCGAGGAAGGCAAAGTAATCAGTAACACTGTAGAACAGAGTAACAGGTGGGTAGAGCACTTTAAGGTACTCTTGAATCGACCAGCCTCACTCAACACATCCACCATCGAAGCAGCATCCATGGTCCTCTATATCGATGTTGTCACAGCAACAGTTGAAGAGGTCAGCATGGTAATCAGACAAATCAAGATCTCAGTCAACCTAGCTGATAAAACTGGACCACCATTCTTACATATCTCAGTGGTCAGTCTATCAGGACCTGCAGCTCGCCCTCGCTTCAGATTTCCTAACGCTTTCTCAACTTCATAAGAACTAGGTTGACTTACGTCGATTTGCCATTCAGGATGACTGAAGATCGTGTGTAACCGAAGAGTGGCTCGAGGCCAGTTGAACTGATCCTTAAAGTGTTCTGCCAATCGGTCCAGTCTCCTGGATTGAGAATGGATAACAAGACCATCCTTTTCCGAAATAGTCTCACTCACACTTGGGTTCCTAATACCAGTTTCATTGATGAGTCTGAATAGTTGCCTACTGTTGCCTATCGCCTCTACCTTTTCCATCTCTCTCGCTTTTGACACCCACCAATGTTCTCGATCATTGGGTAGGCTTTTTGTCAGCCTACGTCTAAGCTGACTCCGCTCCTCATCGCCCTCAAAGCCAGGCGGGATGAGTTTTCGAGCATACATCAGTTCGGTGGATACTACTGAGATCCACGGCTTCATTCTAGCCTTATGGTTTACCTTACTAGCAGATATCACTGCTGTTTCTACAGCCTTCTGGATATCATTCCAACCTGCCTTTGGATGGGAATTACTTACATGGTTGCCTAACTCTCTTTCTAGTTGCTCCGGAAATATATTCATAGCTCTGCTATCATTAGGTGGAATCCTAAGAGGCTTCCTTACGGTGTCTTTCCTACGTCCAGTAAACCTCAAACAAATACGCGCTCGCACTAGGGCATGATCTGAATCTAAACATGTGCCCCAGTACGAGCGACAGTCCATTATCGAACCCTTCCATGGGTGGCTGATGGCGATGTGATCTAGTTGAGTCCAACGTTGACACGACTTTGGAGGTCGCCAGGTCAAGAGATGCTTTTCCTCATGCCCAAAGTTAATGTTTGCTAAGAATAGGCGGTTATCTGAGCATAGTTGCAACAGACAGTCGCCATTGTCTGTTCTCTGAGCCGCAATACCATAACATTCACCTAGATGTCTTTCATTTTCACTTAGTCTACCTAGCGCCTAGCTCTTTGGAGGAGGTCCGAAAGCTTTCTGTGGAACTCATCTTTCACCTCGTCTGAACTGCAGTCAGTGGGGGCATAGGCAGATACGACGAAGAGGTAACGGCGAGTGCCCTTATCCTTCCGAGTCCTTACTGTCCCGTTTAGTCGGACAGCGCACAAACGACTATCTACTGGGATCCAGTCTAGGAGAGATTGTTCAGCTCTACGACTCAATGCTATGCCTACGCCAGTAAGACCCCTGGAAGCAGCATCAGGGCTTCCAGATACACGAAGGGTAAATCGAGCTGCTTCTTCGTTTTGACAAGGTGGAATCAGATTAATAATTTTACTAGGATCCTGTATGCGCGTTTCCGAGATACAGCATACATGGATGGCACGAGATTCTGAAGTCCTAGTTTAATGAAGCCTGTTGCCCTATTTGACACATTGTCCGTACATTAAAAGCCCCAACATGTAGTAAAGAACGGAGTTTCAGGAGACCAGAAATAACGTTTCGTGAGCTCGCATCGTTTGCATTAGCTGTGCAGTGTGATAAAGGAATGTGAGGGGAGTTAGTCGTGGAGATAAGAGAGGTGTGTGTTGACAAAGGAGGGATTTGATTTTGACCAATCTGGTCTCGTGTGCTGTTACGGGTATGAGGGCGGTTATCACTTGCCGTCTGCCCACACCGTGGAAGGTTGTTTCTTGAGAAACCTGAAAAGGGAGATAGATTAGTGTTGGTCTTGGAGACCTGGGAGCGTGATCGCATAGACCAAGGGACAACTGCTTGAGGCCGGTCACGCACGGCCTTTTTATGAAAAGATTTTTGAGGATTAGCTCAGCTCTTAAAGGCCCTTAGTGGGCACCCTTACCCAAGGAGACGGAAATCCGTGAGTTAGGGGAGGTGTGACATTGTTAGGGCCGACCTTTTTTAACCCTTTCTTCCTTGTGAGAAGGCAGCATCGCTGCAGATGCTGGTTATCCGAGGGAAACACCTTACTGCTGTCACACCCCTCTGCAGTCAGCAGTACGACTTCGCCCTCAGACCTTAGGTAGCTGCTTTTAGTCTTATCGTTCTGCAATCGACCTGCCTGGCATGGTAGGACCTGCAGGAACACATGTTCCAGCCAGTATAGCTCGGTTGGGTCATCACGATAGGCAAGCCCGACCACCACGTCAAAGTAGCAGCTACGGTCGGGAAAAGAACAACAGGTTGTAATCTCGTATGGCTATTTCATTCGAATGAGTTTTAAAAGTGTAAAGTAACATTGATCAGTATCCTAATGAACTGTAGGCCGTTGAGGAGTGAAGATATACTTCAGTTACGGATCCAATAATTACACATCAGATGACTGGAAAGTTGATTTATGTCCTCTGAATGTGAATGAGGCTGAAAAGACTATTGGCAATCTGAATCGAGGGAGAGCGGTAGATCCTGATAGATTGACCCCTGAGATTTTTAAGAATGGCTGTCCAGTCTCAACAGTTAGATTGACTGAAATTTTAGCTAAAATCTGAGGACTGGACGTAATCTCATCCGACCGGTCCCAATCACTGATTGTCCCAGCCTACAAGAAAAGATAAAAGTCCTCTTGTGACAGTCACAGAGAAATCAGTTTTACTAATGTATTGTCTAAAATATTAACTTCAATAGTACTTCGAAGCCTAGCTAGAACTCGTGAAGAACAGACCCAAGAAAACCAAGCTGGTTTCGGACATGGATGTGGACGTATATACCATATACTCACACTACGACAGGTCCTAGAACACAGACACATTCAGACGTCCAACAATAGTTGCATTCCTTGACCTTAAGGAGGCGTTCGACTCTGTCGATCATGAGGTTCTATGGCAATGTCTGACAATGAAAGGTCTACCAAAGAAGCACATTACCCTAGTACAGTCTCTCTACTCCAACACTAATGTTTGAGTTAGAGCTTGTGGCGAACTGTCATCGAGATTGATTACCTGGAGTGGTGTTCTCAGGGCTATTCACTTTCTCGATTCTTATTTGATCTTGTCATTGAAAAGCTTGTAGAGACAGCAGTTTCATCGTCTGACTTTTCGGGAGTTGAATTTTTACCAGGAGGTTCACTTGTTGACTTGGCATTTGCAAATGATCTAGTTCTGTTTGGTGATGTTGACGAAATGCCGAGTTTTCTGACCACCTTGAGAAACAATACAAGTTTGTTCGGGATGCGACTCTCCCTCTCCAAATGCAACATTTTGCTTCAGTACTGGCTTGAGTCAAAGCCTGAACTAGTGTTAGGGTGTGAAGTAGTTGAGCGTGTTGACTGCTTCACTTACCTTGAGAGTTGACATGGCTCAAAATCGTTTTCAATGGCGCATTGCATCCATTCTTTGTGTTCTCTCGAATTATAATATTTTGAATTCCTCATGACTTTCATCTTTTTCCTCTCAAACCTTTTTGACTGGATTATACTCCTTGAATAACATTTCGAACCCTAATCCTCCCGATTACTGCTCATACTTCTACTACCTCTACCACCATAGGATTTGAGTTGACAACTCGATCTCAGTGTGCTAGTGTGGTATGGTAACTTGAAGTGATGTACGGACGTACCAAGTTGTACCTTGTAGCTGACTTACTGACTGACGTCGACACTCGGGAACATCACTTATCGATCGGTATTCTGTCCACTCATCCTAATAATTAGAAGCCTTGTTCATTACCACCAGATCTATCATCACAGCACAAAGGCTATATCCATCATGAGAATTCGAAAGATTAGAATCTGAGAGAAGACAGTGATGGATGCGTCTGCGCTATCGCAAATGATTTGAGCCGTTCTAATTAAAGTATCAGGTTTTGCATAAGGTGTCTCACTAATTAGTGCGAAACCTATTATACTGGACGGTTGTCTTGTTCCCCCATACTAATTCATTGAGCTATAACTTCAACACTCGGAAACATGCGGTTACTGGACATCACTTATCCATCGGTATTCTGTTCACTCATCCTAATGCTTAGGAGCCTTGTTCATTACTACCACATCTACCATTAAAGCACGAAGGCTATATCCGTCATCTACGAACTTGAACCGCTACTGGGCCTCAAACACAATACAACTATGTTAGAACACTAAACATCTAAACTTTTCTCCAAGACCACCAGGTCTCTACAGTTAGTCTGATGCAATGACAATCGACATCAAGACTGTTTAATAAAACTGTTAGAAGTGCGTTATATCGTTAGATACTGTGAGCTCTAAATCGTTCACTTTATTCGCATGCAATGCACTCTCATAACACTATTTCGGTTAGTAGCACAGTCCCATTGAATCGATCTATACAGTGAACAGATAGTCACGAATACAGTTGGAAGCAAACTGAATCCACACAATGAAGCGCACAAATACACACACAGTACAAATAAAGTCTATTGATAATGCAAACAAAATCTCCAAACAGTTAAAATCAAAATGATCAGAAAGAGTTTGTTAAATAAAATAAGCAGTGACACCCTGGAATAGATTTAATTAATTAAGTCGCACACTTGATATCTGATAAATATACACATAACGGTTTGATGGATTTAAGGCACATGAGATAAGTTTACAAAATAAAGGAATCAAATAACGGAAAAGGCACTTTATAAACGCAAGGGATATTCAAATTTGAAAAACTGAATGAGTATCTACATTAAGCTTTTTAAATTTTTCACGTGCATTTAGATCTGTCGCTTCCAAGAATACTAAGGTGGATAAAACCTTAGCTCCAGATAGTTTTATCAAGTTATAACAAGCTTCAAGACTTCCACCAGTGGCCAACACATCGTCCAACAGAATTACATTGTCACCAGCATTGAGAGCATCTCTTCGAATTTCTACGGTATCCTATGATTGCAAATGAATTGTGAGATAATGAGGGACATGCTTTAGGATTACGTTGAAAAGAATTAACACAATGACTCAGTGAAATTATTATTCATGCTAAAGCAGCCAATTCTAATTGATTTCATCAAACTGATTTGCGCGAGATTTCTTTATCGAAGCCGCATTCAAAGAGATTGTCTATAGCCTATACTTCGATCACAATGTTGACTACCTTGAATGCGTTCAGACGGCATCCTGATTCATCAACTTATTGTACGAGAAGCAGTTAGATGGCTTACATTTTCTTCTTTTCTTATTGGGGAATAGACAGCGATCTTAGGTTAAAATCTCATATCTTACTTAGACAGGACTTACAACATCTCGTTGATTTGATTTCAGTAGCAGTCAATGTTGATACCAGTCAAGTAATTGCCTAGAACCAAGATAAAGATCCTGTTTTTTAATGAGTCAGCAACTGGGACGATTTCGTCCGGGGAATGGATAAATATGATAGACACTGGGTAGTTTCTTGATAAATAATTCAGTTTGACCTAGCTTTAGTTCGAAAAGCACTGTTGATTCTAACATACCTTAACCAATGAGTAATAAGATCTGCTATATCGTTTCTTTATTTCGCGATTTCATAAGACAAGGAAATCGACTAACGCAGTGGTTGAAATAATTATTACATAGGCAATTGAACTAGTAAAAACTGGCATCACGAAATCACTCCTAAACAACAAGTTCGCTAACAGACTGAATACAACTGGACTCAGTATTTTTTTGGTTAACTATATGGCTTATATTCAAATAAAAATGTTGTGACGACATTTATCATCACCACGAACTTATACTTCCATATTCCAATTCGTACTTATGAGTGAAACACGGACTGGGAAGTTTTCCTGCCTTTCGAACAGGGACGAAAGAGCAGTTCAGACGAAGAGCAAGTGGTGGTCCGAGAAGGAATCCACGAGATTCGAGACCCACAACAGCGTCTATCTTCTAGTGAGTAAAGAAATGCAACGCAACATACTTTATATTCACGCTGTATCGCAGATGTAGCCAGGAAATATAACTCATCTAGCAGATATTGAGTTAAGACAGGATTCCTGAAAACACAAAAGAAATCCCTGTCCATATATTAGCGTAAATTAAATGAAAAGAAACTAATACCGGAAGAAAATGCCTTCCACTGGAAAGTGTGGTACAATCCCTATAGCTGACTCAATAGCTTCCAGTCTAGACTCGCGATCAGACATTTCACGAAGTAAACTATAATTGCAACGTTAAATACTTCGTAGGGTTAATATACACTGTACTTGCCTGACCTACAACACAATCAGACTAATAACAGCAGACAAACACTGAGAACCCCGAATCACGCAAGATTGAAAGGAAAGGCAAATCTATCATTAATTAAGGCCTTAAAATATATGCAGAAGGGGACGTGTATTGGCATCCAACAGAGAATTTATTCGTGGTTTTACGACTAACAGTAGATAAATCCATAAGAAATAAACAGCTTTGTAAGTTTTCGACATTGAGACTGACGTCATTAGTTTTATTGAAAACACCCGTAGCTGAAGACGCTCCGTCACTCAACCGCACCAGATAACCTCAAGATATGCCGTCCAACTCATCCTTTCACATCACCTTACAAAGTTCATTCACATTCAGATATACCTTCTCATTCCTGGTATGATTTGGCTTTGGATATACTCGATCAGAAAGGTGTTACGGACAAAAACGTTGTCTAGCTCTCAATATCTGCGACATTCCCAATATCTTCGTGTTCAAAAGGCTTCACCTACTGTTGCATCTACTAGCCACTCACTACTCAACATCTCAACCATCCTCAAAACAAACTTTTGATCTTCTCAATTCCTAACTCCTGTTTTGACTGCTTATGGTCTTCTCGATCAGGTAGTTATTATGCATAACGATACTGCTAAACCCTGGATATCGGTAACACCTTGGTGAGTGAACACTATGTGATCTGATATTTTCACCGAAAATCTTGGGAGTAATTTTCGCTGTCATAATGTCATTTATATTCATGTGTTTATGCATTTGGTAATACTATACTGTCTCCAATTTTTTCTCGCTTATTTAGGTATATTCTATACTCATTATGTACGGACATACGCAGTGGTTAGTCTTTTCTGAGAACACAAATGATCTCAAACATGATTGGGTTCTCAAGATCCGGGTGAGAAATAGAGAAGTCGTATTGCATACACAATCACTTACTGCGTGGCGGGTCAACGTGTACATTTCCTCTCATTGTTGAAGGCTTCACCGCGAGAATCCAACAAGTACGTTACACATAGTATGTTTGCTAGTGATGGGTTTCAACATAATGACACTTTGAAAAATGTGACTATTGAACATGAAGACCCAAATGACCGCAAAAAGATCGATCGACTACATCATAATACCGAATCGCAACACATCTTCCCGACAGAAATGTTTTTACGTATGATGGAGTTTACTGGTCGAAGGACATTTGAGGAATGTCCGCGTAAACAACTCTCTCTGTCCAAGATTGGTAAGTTATTAGGAGGTGATACTAAGTCATCTGTTTGTAGAGTTTCATCCGCGGGTTATAGGTTATGCCCAGTCACAGTCCAACACATAATCAACCCATCCTTTCAACCGATACTCGACAGGTATTCGAAACCTACCAAACACGGCCGCAATTGCCATGTGTGTTACACGGCATATCACAACGACAAGAACGCTCATATTCTGAAAACCACTCTGACTGTCCTCTGGAGAGCTGAAACCGGCCAAAATAGAATTTTTCCATGTGATGGATTTAGGGAAGTCCAACATTCACAATGCACATGTACATCTCCAGGAATTTGGTATCTTAAAAGGACAGTGATGACTGAATTTCGAATACGAAAAGTACCCCGGATCGACACCAGTTACCTGAAGTCCCCAACTTAATAACTACCTTCAAAGCTACAACTTTCTTTTCAAAAATCTACTCCGCTCAAAAGTCTGACCAAATTTCCACGGTTGAAGACGACGTTTTTGAAACAGTAATCATCAAGCCCTTTCAAATCTATGGAATTTCGCTTGTACTTATCAGCCTAAGAAATGCCACTCAGATTTCTCACTGGTTCATTAAAGATTTTTTCGTCATAAATCGATACTTCATACTGAGTTGGGCTATTCTCATAAAACGCTGAGCAAATCGAGGAGTTTCACGGAAATTAATTACAGCAGTTAACAGCCACTTAGCTTGCATCACGAGACGGTTATAGGAAACTAGATTGAGATCATGCATTATCCACTGGGAACTCCTAGCTCTGTATTGGATTGTACGAAACCCTTTCACTCAGTGGGGATCCGATAGTTCACTTTCTTCACCGACCATAGGCTTCTAATACTTTCAAATTACTTGTTATCAGACAAACGCTCTTCTCGGGCGTCTCAAAATCTAGACTAAATCGTTAACTTTACCTCTAGTATACAATATATTACTGTCTTTGACATTGTAGTTACAGATGCCTTCTCCCGCAAAAAATTTTGAAATAGTTCTCAAGGCATGAACCTGCTTAACTCACCCGCGAAATTTCGAATTCTAGGAGAAATCGTGGATCCTTCATATTCTTTGACAGATTTAGATCCAAATTACAACATGTTCAGTCCCGTTAAGCTGCAATTAATAGATGTTTGACCTGTGATTTGCGATTAAATATACCTTTCGAAACCCGCGTCAAAATGCACCAACCAATTGAGGTTGCATATGAAGGACCGTACAAAGCTCCAAGCTCTAAACAGTTGATATGATTGAAAATAGAGGGCAACATTGACTTTGACTGACTAGAAGCTGCCCAGTTAGACGAAAACAGCATGTCTGATGAATCCATCAACATAAAGATGAAAGACACAACATCCACCACTACGATGAAACAACTTGCTGAGGTAGAGCTGTGAGATTTCAGGAGTACGTAAAGCCATTTAAAATTTCATAACTATGTTACAACTATTTGCTTTCATCTTCACTATTTATAGTTCCAAACACAAGCTTTTTAGATTACTAAACCGATCATGTTGCAACAAAACAGAATAAAGCGTATTTGAAATGCTATCGTCTGTGTGCTTATAGATCTAGTGACAAAAGTTGTGCACAAGGTATATCCAGGCGTATATACCAAACTTTCATTCCCACCTGTCGATATGATACAAGTTCTCTTGTAAAGCCAATGTACTTGCAACAGTTGCTATCCGTCAACACTAGAGGCGAAAAATTAACCCCATGTTACTTAGCCACACAGAAACATAGGACCAGAGAGTATACTTCCCCTGACGTAACTCCATAGAGGATGAACTAATATAAAAGTGAAATAAAATTGCAATTTCAAATAACTAATTACCCAGAAGCATAGTTATGGCCAATAATAGTAATAAAATTTAGTCTTAAATAACTATGTGATACTTGAGAGACACCAGTTTACGTGTAAGATCAAAATGCCAAAAAAGCTAACACATTTATTGTGAAAGTTTTTCCAGTTAGAAATATATTTAACAAGATACACTGGCTCTCTATAGAGAGTTAATACTTTTAAAATTAAATTTTAATCATGTTTCAGAAGCATGAGTGTACAATACAATAGTTGGTGTGACTTATGCCGGTTGTGTTGCGGGGAACGACCGATGGTGAAGTATAGCACCAAATTAAGTCCTAAGGCGGTAAATAACGAAAAGTGATGAGGTGAATGATCTTTGTGATGGAATTCGTCAGATAATTTCAAAGAATTTTAATGGTGAACGAATCTAATTTGCCTATGATCACCACTAAATTCATCTCACTATACCACAACTAGTTTCAGAAATAAATCCAGGATTGAGAATGTATTTGAAGGAGAAAGTAGGCGTTACACCGAGCAGCAAGTAATGAAAGATGGCAACAACGCGAAAAATAACGTTGCGCGCAAGTCAGTGTTTTTGGTACAGCTAAACAAAACGAGTAAAATAATAAATGCTTATTTCTCACCAACCGCGTTTTTTTTCGTAGAAGTGTTCCGCTACAGACTCTTGAGTAGAGCAACTGTAAGTTTATGGGTATATCAAAGCTCTTATTTGAGATGTAGGACGAAGTGGTGAAAAAGAAAATGAGATAGAAAGGGACGACGAGCGTAACCAAACATATTCATATTTAAAGTTGAATCATGATTCAGCAAGTAATTTTGTGAATGAAACAATTAAAATATAGTTACTCAAACCAATGATCGTTTGAATAGAGGAGATTCTATAGCACTAAATTGTTATGAATTAGGAATCCATTAGAGTATAACAAGGAAGGCAAAGTGATTTGATGCCCTGATTATATTTATTGTTTTTTATCTCTGCTGCTTAAGAGGTTAAGAGTAGACAGTTTCTCAGCAGGATTTCTCAGGTCAACTTGGATAAAACATGACTCAGAGACTTAGTTGACATGGAAAAGTAGAACCAATATCATCAATTAGTTACATACCCATCTATCCTATCACACTGAAATTAACTGATGTTAGATAATGTAAGATACAGGTCAGTTAGTAGGTTGTTCGGATATAAGAAGGATAGGTAGCTGATGGAAGAATATGAAGAAAAATAGTATAGAAAATTCATGGGTATTGTTTGTGACAGGGGAGTCATAGGTGACCTGATAATGGCGTACAGCATATAAGGAACTCCAAATCATCCCAACGTGAGCATCTTACAAGGCATCTACAGACGCCCCTCGAGGTAATCCCCGAAAAACTACGCATGAAAGAGCGAACACCCAGGTTTGTGCTTACCTTTTCCCATTGAGAGTCGTTGCAACTTGGAATGCTCTTCTAGACGATGTAACCACAGACCCTTGGTGGATGGCCTCCAGAAGAGACTTGATAAACGCGTACTCACATAAGGATTGTAATTGCCCTCTTTTGATAGCTATGCCTAAGGCATGTCTTGAAGAATGCTAATTGTTATTATTGCCATCTCCTCAGATCACACTGACTTAATCTGTTTCGCTTATTATCTCCGTCTTCTCCCCCTTGCTTAAAATTAGGACCTCTCGCACAATCTTCACTACCAATTAATGAACTAAATTATCCATTTACTTACTTAGTTCTGAAATCTTTTGATAAGAACTATAATTTTCTCCTTATTATTCGCCACATTGCAACTAACTTATTGCTGGTCTGGTAACATAATAGCTGCTGGTATCCAGGAACCCTACTACCCTGAAACAAATGTTTTCATTCAAATCACAGGACAACCAAATAAGCAGCTGCCTAATGACTAGAATTAGTGCAGTCTGGTGGCTGGATAATCATCCATTGGACAATGCCAGATATCTGGAACTGTATCTAAAGAAATCAATTCGTTGATACCTGTTCGTGAATGATATTGGCTATATTGGATATTGAAACGAGAAAAGTAGTGTGGCGCGCTTCAGCATTCAGCTCGGTACAGACAAGCATGAATGTATTTAGGCTATTGGGGGACTTCTCTCACCTTATTGCCATAATAATCCTCCTAAAAAAAATTTGGAAGACAAAGTCATGTGCTGGTAAGATTCCTCTTGTCAGGACTCCTGTACTACCTTGTTTTTCCCTAAAATTATGCATAAATATCGAAGATTCAAAAATGTCACATTAAATCCTGAACAGTCAATTATTCGTCACCTTTATTATTCCAACAGCTTTCTATCATTCTATTCCACTCACATTATCGTATAGTACATTGGATCACCTGGGATTATCCTTTCTAGATCAATTGTGCCACGAAGTTGTGTTTTGCTTGACTTAATTTTGGTGGGCATTAAGTAACGCTTTGCAGTGTTACTTTGCGGGCTACAGTTTTTAGATCATCCCATGAACTCTTACATTATTTGCGAGTGCTGATGAGCTTTTGGAATACCCCTGTCTAAAATATGCCAAACTCGTCTTTGCACCAGATTAATCTAAGCGTCTTCATACAAATTAGAACTATATTTTACTGGTACAGAGCTTGCTGTCATATGCTGTGGGAAAATTTGAATCTCATTCATCATTCTAACAAAAAACTAGGAATTTCCTTGCGGCATATAGGCTATGGAATGTTAATTTTCTTGTAATTAAATTTTTTCACAAAACACTTTCTGTTCACCTTCAGCCTTCCTTCCTCATTTCTCCCCCGTAAGCTAACTCCTTAACCACAGTCGATTACTACTAATGTCTGACTAATTGATGTGAAATAACTTGAGTAGACAACTGTTTATAAAGATCTGTAACTTTCTGATTGCTGTAGTGGTTCTCCAAGTTCCAACACAGTATATCAGAACAGTCAACGTTGTTTAAAACTGACCTGGGTCTCGGATTTTCTTAAGTTGTACTAATCCTAAATCAGTCTTCTTAATCCGTGCCTTCATGTCTGCACCAGACTCCGTTATCAGTAGTTATCCCGGTCCGTACAGGCTGCTACCTCTTCCAAAGCTTGGTTGCCAAGAATTACTTAGTTAATGCTCACCAAGTTGTACTTCGATATCTTGTTTTTTCCCTTTTGTATGGTGGAGCCTACTTCTGAAAAACATGCTGCTATATTGACGTCTTCCAGTTTTTTTACTGCATGTGCAACAGCTGGGCCGAATATGCGGAATACAAATCGTCCAGCAGCATCCAAGGTATCCTTCGTAATTATAGCTTCTCCTGAGATGTCGGGGTTTTCGTTATGCAATGGACAACGAAAAAAAAGACAGAGGGCGATTGTAGGCACCCTTATCTGGCACGAGTTATAGCTCGCTCCTGCGAGCTGTTCTCCATCCATAAGTTAGTAATGCAGTCACTCATAGGAACTTTATATAATGGTGAAGATTTTATTGGTACTATATTGTGTCGAAGCAGACCCACATCATAAAGTGCTTTATTGTAACCAATAAATTTGATGTATACCTACACGTTCCATTCAAATAACTGCTCAGCAATAATCACTAGTGTTACACATAATCGATCCTTATGAAAGCTAGCTTGTTAATCTCAAAGTTGATTTTCTACTGAATTCTCCATTCGGTACAACACATTTGAAAGCAGCCTTGCATTGACAGTGTTGTAATGCATCTGTTGTTCTTGCCTTTACTAAGACTTTTCTTCAGTATCTTAATGGGGTATCCTTTGCGGTCTGTCGGTACTAGTTTTTCCTACCAAATCTTTGTGAATAGAACATGGGTCATCTTTATAGTTACCTTTATACTTGACTTCAGTATCTCGGCTCGCATGCTCTTTTCTTGCTCATAGCCATTCTTAATTTGTCCGATGACGTTGCTGATTTCTATTGTTAGCGGGGTACCAAGTGTAGAGTGGTTTGTGAGTCCGATGAGTTCAGTGGGACTAGCCGACTTAAGGGCTCTTGAGTGCTATACTCACATATTTCGCTGCTCTTGAACCTCCGTGGTCGCAGTTTTTTCACATTTCTATGTCTTGTGTTGTCCATTCTAATGGCGTTTAGGCCTCCCATCAGAATTGTCAGGTCTTTTGCTGCGCATTTTTATACTATCGACTGCAGCCTCATGAGAACGACCTTCATCGTCTTCTTTGCTATCGTTGGTGAGCGCATATCCGATCAGATGTTTTCTTGGACATTTCTCGACGACGGACTGTGGCACCTCATGGATATGGTCTTTTTTGGCTTCAGTTTCATCTTGCCGACCACCAGGTGGTGATCTGAAGTTATGGAAACTTCTTTCTTTGTCCTTGCTTCTTCTATTATCTGATAAAACTAGTCTTTATCGTTTCCATTTCTATCATTGATGGAGGCGTAGCAATGAATAATATTGCAATCCCTCCTTTGTTTTAAGTCAGTCAGTTCAGTCAGATGCAACGTAGAACTTCGTACGTAAGTACATCAGTTCATGCTGCCATACCACATTAGCACAGAGACGCAACTGTCAATTCAAATGCCATAGTGGTAGAGATAATAGGAGTAATACTGGTAATAAAGAGGATTAGGATTTGAAGATATTGTTCAAGAAGTATAATTCAGTGAGATAGGTTTATAAAGACGAAAGTAGAGGTGTTGAAGAATCCAAAAGATCGGGATTTGAGAGGACACAAAGAGGTCTCTAACCATAGGTTACAATCGTCTCGCGGGCCCCAACCAGGTAGTCTACATCTACCGACATGACTCATTCCACTTGTCAGTGAGTTCATGAATTTGTGCCATGTTTTGGTTTGGCTGCCCCTACCTTTCTTCCAACCTACTCCTACACTACAAAACAAAGCTCGTCGAGGTAGTCGATGGTTAGGCATACGTAACACGTGTCCCAAGCACATCAACTGATAAAGTTTCAATACTTCATCAACTGATCTTCCATCCTTACCTAGTATTCGTTTCCTAATTATAGCATTGAATACTCGGTTGTCCCAAGATATACGAGCAATGCTTCTAAGACATCTGTGATCGAATACTAGTAACCTACGAATATTTTCTACTCTTACCGGCCATGTTTCGGATCCATATAGTAGAACGGAGCGAACTGCTGCATAGTACACTCGTCCGGTCAATCTAACTGGACCACCATCCTTAAAAATCTCAGGGGGAAGCCTATCAGAACCTACTTCCCTACCTCGCTTTAGATTTCCTATAGCCTTCTCAACTTCATAAAGACTAGGAGGACTTATGTCGATTTGCCATTCAGGATGACTGGAGATCGTGGGCAACTGAAGTGTGGCTGAAGGCCAGTTGAACTGATTCCTAGAGTGTTCTGCCCATCAGTCCAGTCTCCTGCGTTGAGAATGAATGATACAACCATCCTTTTTTGAGACAGTTTCGCTAACAGGTGGATTCCTAATACCGGTTTCCTTCATTAGGCGGAACAACTGTCTACTGTTGCCGCTGCCTTTTCCATCGCTCTTGCTTTCGCCACCCACCACTGTTCGTGGTCGTTGCGTAGGCTTTTTATCAGCCTGCGCTTAAGCTGAATTCGCTCTTCATCATGTTCAGAGCCAGGTGGATGAGTTTCCGAGCATCCATCAGTTCGGTGGATACTACTGAGATCCACGGCTTCATTCTAGCCTTATGGTTTACCTTACTAGCATATATCACTGCTGTTTCCACAGCCTTCTGGATATCGTTCCAACCTGCCTTTGGATGGGAATTACTTACATGGTTGCCTAACTCTCTTTCTAGTTGCTCCGGAAATATATTCATAGCTCTGCTATCATTAGGTAGAATCCTAAGAGGCTTCCTTACGGTGTCTTTCCTACGTCCAGTAAACCTCAAACAAATACGCGCTCGCACTAGGGCATGATCTGAATCTAAACATGTGCCCCAGTACGAGCGACAGTCCATTATCGAACCCTTCCATGGGTGGCTGATGGCGATGTGATCTAGTTGAGTCCAACGTTGACACGACTTTGGAGGTCGCCAGGTCAACAGATGCTTTTCCTTGTACCTGAAGTTGGTGTTTGCTAAGAATAGACGGTTATCTGAGCATAGTTGCAACAGACGGTCGCCATTGTCTGTTCTCTCAGTCGCTACACCATAACATCCACCTAGGTGTCTTTAATTTTCACTTAGTCTACCTACTTGAGCATTAAAGTCACCAGCCATAATTACTATATCAGAGCGCCTAGCTTTTTGGAGGAGGTCCGAAAGCTTTCTGTGGAACTCATCTTTAACCTCGTCTGAACTGCAGTCAGTGGGGGCATAGGCAGGTATGACGAAGAGGCAACGGCTAGTGTCCCTATCCTTCCGAGTCCTTACTGTCCCGTTTAGTCGGACAGCGCACAAACGACTATCTACTGGGATCCAGTCTAGGAGAGATTGTTCAGCTCTACGACTCAATGCTATGCCTACGCCAGTAAGACCCCTGGAAGCAGCATCAGGGCTTCCAGATACACGAAGGGTAAATCGAGCTGCTTCTTCGTTTTGACAAGGTGGAATCAGATTAATAATTTTACTAGGATCCTGTATGCGCGTTTCCGAGATACAGCATACATGGATGGCACGAGATTCTGAAGTCCTAGTTAATGAAGCCTGTTGACGTATTTGACACTATGTCCGTACATTAAATGCTCCAATATGTAGTTTAGAACAGGGTTTAAGGAAACTAGGAATAACGTTTCTTGAACTCGCATCGTTTGCATTAGCGGTGCATTGTGATAAAGGAATGTGAGAAGAGTTAGTCGTGGAGATAAGAGAGGTACTAGGGGGTGTAGGAAGGATTTGATTTTGACCAATTTGGTCTCGCGTGCTGTTACGGGTATGAGGGCGATTGTCACTTCCCGTCTACCCACACCGTGGAAGTTTGTTTCTTTAGGGACCTGAAAAAGAATGTAGATTAGTGTTGGTCTTGGAGACCTGGGAGCGTGACCGCATAGACCAAGGGACAACTGCTTGAGGCCCGCCACGTACGGCTTTTTTATGAGAGGTTTTTTGAGTATTAGCCCCGCTCTTAAAAGCCCTTACCACCGGAGGCGGAAATCCGTGAGGTAGGGTGAGATGTGACATTTTCTGGGTCGACCTTTTCTAACCCTTCCTTGTAAGAAGGCAGTATCGCTGCAGATGCTGGTTATCCTAGGGAGACGCCTTACTGCTGTCACATCCCTCTGAAGTCAGAAGTACGACTTCGCCCTCAGACCTTGGGTAGCTGCTTTTAGTTTCATCGTTCTGGATCCGACCTGTCTGGCATGGTAGAAGCTTCAGAAACATATGTTCCAGCCAACATAGCCCGGTTGGGTCATCACAATAGGCAAAGAAAGCCTTGGTGATCTCTGATCCATGAAATTCTTGTTCTATTAGCGGTTTCCATGCTTCTTTGAAGGGCATTGAGGAACTCTTTATGTAGGAGTTTCTCGTGACGGGAATACGACAGTATCTCTCAAAACTAGTTTCGCTGCCTAGCTTGTATTTAGTGGGTTTTACTTATTTTAAGCAGAGCCAGGTTGTATCTTTTAATTTCCTCAGCAATCTGAATTCTTCTTCCGGTCCCTCGGATTGTGCAGGCACAATTTACCTAAGTTAATTATTGCTCTGGTTGTCAGAAGGCACATCAACCCTGTTATTTCAAAAAAACTAGGATATCACTAGAAGATATCATAACTCTTCTGCATAAAGACCCTTCAATCTGTAAAGGCAAAGCTTACACTCTTATGAGGCGTTTTTCTAGTAAGCGTTGTTCAGCAGGGTTGTGTTTTATGAATGGGGTTGCTAACTCCATGCCCAAATGTCTTTATCCAGGCTTGGATCCAGTAGTAACTTTTGAATGGCCCGACGTGGAGTTGATGTTACCTTAATTTAAGCTTTTCAGAGATATGTCTTCCAATTTAAACGAAAAGTATCTTCATTTTTAAGCTTCGTTCACGAACTTTTGACTTCAGAAACAATTTCTCGAATGTTTTTAACCATACGTCCTCGCAGTAACACCGGTCTGTTTTTAACTGTTCATGTGACAGCTGAACTTAGCTGGAAACCATGTGGTAACAGAAATCTTCAAAACAGAATGTATCTATTGTTTTTACCAAAACCAATGGTAGGAAACTGTTTCATGTGGTAAAATCTTTTTCAAAGTGCAAAATGTAGCATTTCAAAATTACTGTAAAAGGAAATGATGAAGCAAATTAAAAGAATATAAGTATTTATAACTACTTTTTCTAATCACGAAGATTAATAAAGCTAGTGGGATACCTTGGTATACCATAAACACTTAATGTATCTAATTACTCCTCATCAAGCAGGTGTTACTGGTCAGTAGATGTATTCTAAACCAGTCCTCAATTTACCAGTGTTCCCCTAGTTCCTTTCTGTAAGCACTATGAGTATAATTGGTGTTCTCAGTAGTTGTAAATCCTCTGTACCATTCTGTTCATGTGTGTGACGTTTTTAATATATTCATCCTTTAAATTACCTGTATCCATTTTGTAGGACTTTCAGGAAAATCTCAACTTCTTTTTGCAATTGTGTTTGTATCGCGTTACATGGATTTGTTTTTCAGTTTCATTTCACTGTATAACACTATTATGAAGCTTTTCTTCATCAGTTGCTCTTGTGCAACTGTTTATTTGATGTATTTCAAATTCAAGGCTACCTACGATTCTAATCATGATACATTTGCTATGTATTTTTTACTGGTCCCGAGTCTGCTTCTAGGATTAGTGGCCAATTATGAATTTTCTTTATATGAGGTGAGGCTTTCAAGACAGACTTTTAATTTTTCACTTTAATAACCTTACTGAAACTGAAATTATTTTTTAGTCAGTTAGTGGGGCATAGGTTAGATTGACTCATATCGAGCAATCCAAAAACCCAGGTTTCATAACAGCATAGAGTAGATTAAATAAGAAACAAAACCAAAGACTAAACAAATAACTTTAAAATCCAAATTTCGTTGTCTAAGTTAACCTTAGAAAACATCTCTCTGAATCACCTTGGGTGATTAAAGGTTATGTCACTTAAAGTCTCCAGCTGACTAATTGTACTGAATCTGAACATAAGCTTTATGTTTCATGCATGATACCTTAAGGTATCTCAGAGAATGGTATTGTCAGTCAGTCAGTTGCAACGTAGAACTTCGTACGTATGTACATAAGTTCATGTTGCCATACCACATTAGCACAGAGACGCAAATGACAAAGAATGATATTGTGTTCTAGATTGACTACCTTTACTTTCACAACAGTCATTTTTTCAATTGTCGAATAGAAAGGAAACAAATATTCAGTACGCTTCTTTTTTGCTTAACAAACGTCATTAGTAGTAAATATAATATGAGTGTGTTCGGTCTTCGTATATAAGCAAGTTTTATTCCAATCCATTTATTAAATCATATATGAACGGACAATATTCCTTTCCATAAGTCTTCTTAAGGTTCCACAATTATGAGCGCAAGTAAAATGGTGGATAATGGTTAAGTCGTCTGACTTCCAAACACATCCCAAGGTCCAAAGCCCACTCCATATACCTTGGTCTGGTTAATCAGGTAGTGTCATTAGTGTAGGCTGTTTTGCAGTATCCTTGTTAAGTCCGATTATTACACCTTAGTGTCCTACAGTCATCTCTATGGCAAATTACATTTGGTGACAACAAATATGTAATACTCACATATCCCGGTTACGCCAATATCACTAATACTATAGCCAACTAAAGGTATTTGCCAACGCCGATTTATCCCCGCCAAAATTCATTCGACTACAACTACGCATCGGAATGCTAAAGACTGACCGAGTACCTCTCGTGTAATCTTAGTAATAGGTTGATAATTAACTAAGAAAACTATATAAACGAAAGAAAGACAGAAACAGTTGATGAGGCAAAAGGGATCTTTTAAATGAGACTATACAAATACTGTGAATCAATCATTTAACAAATACACATCAAAATTGTATGTAATTATTTACTAGAGAGTAGTTTTCCATTCTCATTTATTTCCCTATTCGTAATAATACTCAGGCTCTGTGGCTTTTGTTTCAGAATTGTATACACCTTTTTAGTACATGATTTATATAGATTTTATGTGTACTGTCTCAGTAGCTAACATAATAATTATTTTAAATAAACTTGAGTGAGCAGTTCTTAAGGTGACACTGCAAGTCAGTAATTAACTCATTCACGAGGTACTTGTGTATGAACCACATTAAGTTTGAGTGCTGATGATATTGTCTGGTTGACCACATCAAAGTAGAGGGATTGATTTCGAACTTTGGACTAAAGATCGAACGCTTTAACTACTAAACCTTCACTCCACTTTGTACTAAACATTAATTATAGTAGCGTAAAGAAACATCACTGCATAGTTCATAATGTTGTCAAACCGACTCGTGATGCCTTGTTACACAGTAGCCACTGAGTTTAGCAAAGTAAGATTTTACGTGCATTATCCATTAAGAAGTTAGTCTAATCTCGTGAGGCTATTTACTTCTGGTAAACATTCACTGAACCTCTGAAATCAACTGGCCAGCAACTTTCGGACATAGATCAACCTAACATTTAGGTCTGTAAGTTGTGAATCCTCTGAAAACTTATATTTAATAGCTTCGTTCTAAATTTTCCTTCCCGTCCTTTGGGAAAGGTCGACGGATATCTCTAGGGATCTTTTGAAAAAAACTGGGCAACTTTCTGACGAAAGTGTCTATGAAGAAAGCTATATACAAATAAATACCAATGAATTGCAAACTGTAGCATCAACTTTTAGCCCTAAACTTCCTGTTTTATAAAGTTAATTCATATAAGCAGACACTAAATGGATATTTTCGTTGCCAACCATTTGATTTCATTTTCATAAACAAAAAAGTTGGTTGAAGTAGATAAACAACTCCACATTCAGTTCTGAGATTTGGGTCCATAACTTGTACTCCCTTCATTAGCTAAATATTCCTAACACGAAGTGGAAATATAAATTACCTGAGTTTTTTCCAACATCTAGCTGTCGGTTTGTTATTATCCACTTTTCACAGAAAGGTTTTACTTTTATTAGTCTAATTACCAGAGAGGCCTTCATTGTTAAGTCATTTTTGCACGGTAAGTTGGTTATCACCATTATTTCCTTCATTTAAATCTTATTATAGATGATGAGTGATATTTGAATTTTTCTTTATGCAATCCTTTTATAATATGTTGTTTGCTGTATTTATATTCATTAATCAAAGGTACTATGGGCGTTCTCAATTTATTTGGAATCGGTTGCTATAATGCCTCAGTTATTTATGATAAGCAAAACAGGCGAAGCTGAAACAATCACTTCGCACTACTTATTTGCCTTAGGATCATATCGTGGATTGTATTTGTTCAATTGGATATATCGTTATATTTTTGATGATTATCTGGACTATATTGCTGTCGTTGCGGGTATTGTACAAACATTATTGTACTGTGACTTCTTCTACTTGTATATAGCTAAAGGTAAATCGTCTGTATGACTTCACTCATCTTTTTAAATGATTGAGGATAATTGTTAGTGTATATTACCATTAGTTAACGTAAATGTTCCTATTCGACTAGTTTGCTTACTGTCGTCTTGGGAACGTTTATTTATTTGAACACATGGACGTCAGTACAAAGAGGCACCTAAATAATTCTGCGTCACATAAATTGTTGAATTTATGAGTGGACTAAGATAACTACCAGGACGCCCTAATTGAAGCATATGGTCTTCTCAGGGCTACAACCCAAGCACTTAATCCTCCTGATCCACAAGGTAGTGAAACAACGTAACGAGATGCCGACCGATGGTAGCCGGTGATTAACAACAGGTTAACACGCCATTTAATCTGTCAGGATCCTAGCGCACATTTGCACCATAGTGTTATAGTTAGGGGTTTCGAACTACTCTGTATTTCGTACACCCGGTTAAAACGCTGGAAACTCGCCTTTCGACCTCACAATTTCATAAGAAGCTAAGTACTAGTTGTTCTTCTGATGCCTGACTCCGATTCTCAGCGTAACGTGTTCCTTAGTCGCATTAATTGGCAAATTGATGTAAGTCCTCCGAATCTGAATGAGGCTGAAAAGACTATTGGCAATCTGAATCGAGGGAGTGCGGCAATCCTGATAGATTGACCCCTGAGATTTTTAAGAATGGCTCTCCAGTCTCAACAGTTAGATTGACTGAAATTTTAGCAAAAATCTGAGGACTGGACGTAATCTCATCCGACCGGTCCCAATCACTGATTGTCCCAGCCTACAAGAAAGGATAGAAGTCCTCTTGTGACAGTCACAGAGAAATCAGTTTTACTAATGTATTGTCTAAAATATTAACTTCAATAGTACTTCGAAGCCTAGCTAGAACTCGTGAAGAACAGACCCAAGAAAACCAAGCTGGTTTCGGACCTGGATGTGGACGTATATACCATATACTCACACTACGACAGGTCCTAGAACACAGACACATTCAGACGTCCAACAATAGTTGTATTCCTCGACCTTAAGGAGGCGTTCGACTCTGTCGATCATGAGGTTCTATGGCAATGTCTGACAATGAAAGGTCTACCAAAGAAGCACATTAAGCTAGTATAGGCTACATATGGCTACATCCCGGCTGCCCACACCGTGGAAGTCTTCTGGCTGTCGTGACTTTATAAGGAACTCGTTTTTCATCTTGAGACGCGACAATTCTTCTAAATGAAGACTTTCTGAGACGAGTTTAAATGGTTTGAATTATTATTTATTGTTAGCACTTTTTCGGCAAGCTAGTTTTCGGTATAGGCCCACTAACCCACATCTCAACCCTCCTCCTTAATCCGGGCCTAGGACCGGCAGTAGCCCCGAACGGTGTACAGTGGGAGTGAACAGTGGTGCGTAGCGAAACCGAGAGAGGTGGAGAAGGCAGCGGTGATAGGCAACAGTAGGCAACTATTCAGACTCATCAAGGAAACCGGTATTAGGCACCCGAATGTGGGTGAAACTATTTCGGAAAAAGATGGTCTTATTATTCGTTCTCAATCCAGAAGATTGAACCGATGGACAGAACGCTTTACGGATCAATTCAATTGCCAGCCACATTTCAGCTGCCCACGATCTCCACACATCCTGAATGGCAAATCGATGTAAGTTGTTCGACTCTTTATGAAGTTGATAAGCTATAGGAAATCTGAAGCAAGGTAGAGCAGCGGGCCCTGATAGATTGACCCCTGAGATTTTTAAGGATTAGAGTTCGAAAAGTATAATTCAGTGAAATGAATTTTGGGAAAAAACAAACGGTCAGGAGGAACTCAGACGAATATGATGGTTCAAATGTCTCATTGTGATAGTACTATACGGCACTTAACTAATCAAAATATTTTTTTTGTTTCTAGTTGTGAAAGGACGTGACTTACGACTACCTGCCTGAATTCTAATAATATTCAGTATTTATTTCTTTGACTTCGCTTTGTGACATTTTTCCTTTGCTTCTCTATAGTTGTATTCCTAAATAAAATATTCCCATACGCTGTATGTTTTTTTGATTCATTCCTGTCGAATACTTTTATTATGATGGGATTCATAATTAATCAAATACTTGAACGACTAATGTTAACATTAATTTATCTACGGTGATCAAATAGTTTATTCATTTTGGAATTGAGTTCAAATCTAAAACAAACAAGTGACAGTAAACGTAAAGGGAAATAAAATCAAAAATAATATTATTTCTTAGTGAATGAACTAAATCTGTTATTGTGTCAGTCTTTTATTTGTAAATCGGCGAGTTAATTTATATGAACGTCGCGTTGCTTTAATCTTCGCTAATGTGTAGCAATGTCAGTCAGATGTAATGTAGAACTTGGTACGTAAGTACATCAGTTCATGTCGCCATACCACATCAGCACAGAGATATAATTGTCAATTCAAATCCAACAGTAGTAGAGGAAGTAAGGGAATTAAGAGTAATCGGAGAGGTTAGGGTTAGAAGATACTATTCAAGAAGTATGATTCAGTGAGAAAAGTTTAGAGAGTCGAAACTAGAGGGGGTTTGAGAGAACACAAAGAATAAATGCACCGGCGCCATTGCGAACGATTTTGAGCCATGTCATTCAAGGTCTCTAACCATCGATTATTATCATCTCGCGGACCCCAACCAGGTAGTCGACAATTACCGACATGGCTCAGTCCACTAGTCAATGACTTCATGGATTTCTGCCATGTTTTGGTCTGGCCGCCCCTAACTTTCTTCCAACCTAGTCCTACACTACAAAACAAAGCTCGACGAGGCAGTCGGTGGTTAGGCATACGCAACACATGTCCCAACCACCTCAACTGGTGAAGTTTCACCACTTCATCGATTGATCTGCCATCCTTACCTAGTACTCGTTTCCTAACGACAGCATTGCTTACTCGGTTGTCCCACGATATACGAGCAATGCTTCTAAGACACCTATGATCGAAAACCAATAACCGACGAGTATCTTCTACTCTCATTGGCCATGTTTCACAGCCATAAAGTAAGACGGAGCGAACCACTGGGCAGTACACTCGTCCTTTAGTCAGCAAACGGATATCTCGCCTACGCCATAAGTGACGCAGGTTGGCAAAAGCCAATCGAGCCTTCTGTATCCGTGCCGAGATTTCGTCAGTCACCAGGCCATCTGCACTGATGAGACTCCCAAGATAAGTGAAGCGGTCTACACGTTCGACTACTTCACTCCCTATCACTAGTTCAGATGCCGATGCAACCCAATCTTGAAGCAACTGTTTGCGTTTCGAGGGGGAAAACCGCATCCCGAACATGCTTGCATTGTTGCTTATGGTAGTCAGAAGACTCTGCATTTTGTCAGCGTCTTCACCAAGTAGGACAATGTCATCGGCATATTCTAAGTCAATAAGCGAGCCTCCTGGTAGAAGGTCTACTCCTGAAAATTCAGACGAGGATAAGGTTATTTCTAGGAGTATATCTATGATAAAATTAATCAAGAATGGAGAAAGTGGACATCCCTGACGGACACCACTTGATGTAGAGAATTCCGGTGACAGATCGCCATAAGCTCTCACTCGACCAGTGGTGTTCGAGTAAAGGGCTTGTATAAGGTCAATGTACTTCTTTGGTACACCTTTCAATGACAGACACTGCCACAGAACCTCACGATCCACAGAGTCAAATGCCGCCTTAAGGTCCAGGAAAACAACTGTTGTAGGACGCCTAAATGTGTCTATGTTCCAGGACCTGTCGTAGTGTGAAGATGTGGTCTATACAACCACGTCCAGGTCGGAAACCAGCCTGGTTTTCTCGAGTCTGCTCTTCACGAGCTTTCGTTAAGCGTCGAAGTATTACTGAGGCCAATATTTTAGATACTATATTAGTTAGACTCATTCCTCTGTGATTGTCACAAGAAGACTTTTGTCCTTTCTTATAGATTGGGACAATCAGTGATTCAGACCAGTCGGATGGGATTGCGTCCAGTTCCCAGATTCTACGTAAGATCTCAGTTAACCTAGCTGATAAAACTGGACCACCATCCTTAAATATCTCAGGGGTCAGTCTGTCAGGACCTGCAGCTCGTCCTCGTTTCAGATTTCCCAACGCTTTCTCAACGTCATTAAGACTAGGGGGACTTAGGTCGATTTGCCATTCAGGATGACTGGAGATCGTGGGTAACCGAAGAGTGGCTCGTGGCCAGTTGAACTGATCCCTAAAGTGTTCTGCTCATCGATCCAGTCTCCTGGATTGAGAATGGATAATAATCCCATCCTTTTCCGAAATAGTCTCACTCACATTCGGGTTCTTAATACCGGTTTCTTTAATAAGGCGGAAAAGTTGTCTAGTGTTGCCGATCGCCGCTGCCTTTTCCATCGCTTTTGCTTTAGCCACCCACAACTGTTCGCGGTCGTTACGCAGACTTTTTATAAGTCTGCGTCTAAGCTGACTACACTCTTCATCATGCTCAGAGTCAGGTGGGATGCGTTTTCGAGCATCCATCAGTTCAGTGGGTGCGACTGATATCCACGGCTTCATCCTAGCCTTGTGGTTTACCTTACTAGCAGATATCACTGCTGTTTCCACAGCCTTTTTGATATCATACCGACCTGCTTCTGGGTGGGAATTACTTACATGGTTGCCTAACTCTCTTTGTAGTTGCTCCTGAAATATTTTCTTAGTTTGATTATCATTAAGTAAGACCCTAAGAAGCTTTCTTACGGTGTCTTTCCTACGTCCAGTAAGCCTAAAACAGATACGAGCTCGCACTAGGGCATGATCTGAATCCAAACATGTGCCCCAGAACGAGCGACAGTCTTCTATCGAACCCCTCCATGGGTGGCTGATGGCGATGTGATCTAGTTGAGTCCATACTATATTAGTTAGACTCATTCCTCTGTGATTGTCACAAGAAGACTTTTGTCCTTTCTTATAGATTGGGACAATCAGTGATTGAGACCAGTCGGATGGGATTGCGTCCAGTTCCCAGATTCTACGTAAGATCTCAGTTAACCTAGCTGATAAAACTGGACCACCATCCTTAAATATCTCAGGGGTCAGTCTGTCAGGACCTGCAGCTCGTCCTCGTTTCAGATTTCCCAACGCTTTCTCAACGTCATTAAGACTAGGGGGACTTAGGTCGATTTGCCATTCAGGATGACTGGAGATCGTGGGTAACCGAAGAGTGGCTCGTGGCCAGTTGAACTGATCCCTAAAGTGTTCTGCTCATCGATCCAGTCTCCTGGATTGAGAATGGATAATAATCCCATCCTTTTCCGAAATAGTCTCACTCACATTTGGGTTCTTAATACCGGTTTCTTTAATAAGGCGGAAAAGTTGTCTAGTGTTGCCGATCGCCGCTGCCTTTTCCATCGCTTTTGCTTTAGCCACCCACCACTGTTCGCGGTCGTTACGCAGACTTTTTATAAGTCTGCGTCTAAGCTGACTACACTCTTCATCATGCTCAGAGTCAGGTGGGATGCGTTTTCGAGCATCCATCAGTTCGGTGGGTGCGACTGATATCCACGGCTTCATCCTAGCCTTGTGGTTTACCTTACTAGCAGATATCACTGCTGTTTCCACAGCCTTTTTGATATCATACCGACCTGCTTCTGGGTGGGAATTACTTACATGGTTGCCTAACTCTCTTTCTAGTTGCTCCTGAAATATTTTCTTAGTTTGATTATCATTAAGTAAGACCCTAAGAAGCTTTCTTACGGTGTCTTTCCTACGTCCAGTAAGCCTAAAACAGATACGAGCTCGCACTAGGGCATGATCTGAATCCAAACATGTGCCCCAGAACGAGCGACAGTCTTCTATCGAACCCCTCCATGGGTGGCTGATGGCGATGTGATCTAGTTGAGTCCAGCGTTGAGACGACTTCGGGGGTCGCCAGGTCAACAGATGCTTTTCCTTGTGCCTGAAGTTGGTGTTTGCTAAGAATAGACGGTTATCTGAGCATAGTTGCAACAGACGGTCGCCATTGTCTGTTCTCTCAGTCGCTACACCATAACATCCTCCTAGATGTCTTTCCTTTTCACCTAGTCTACCTACTTGAGCATTAAAGTCACCAGCCATAATTACTATATCAGAGCGCCTAGCTTTTTGGAGGAGGTCCGAAAGCTTTCTGTGGAACTCATCTTTAACCTCGTCTGAACTGCAGTCAGTGGGGGCATAGGCAGGTATGACGAAGAGGCAACGGCTAGTGTCCCTGTTGCCCTATTTGACACATTGTCCGTACATTAAAAGCCCCAACATGTAGTCTAGAACGGGGTTTCAGGAGACCAGAAATAACGTTTCGTGAGCTCGCATCGTTTGCATTAGCTGTGCAGTGTGATAAAGGAATGTGAGAGGAGTTAGTCGTGGAGATAAGAGAGGTGTGTGTTGGCAAAGGAAGGATTTGATTTTGACCAATCTGGTCTCGTGTGCTGTTACGGGTATGAGGGCGGTTATCACTTGCCGTCTGCCCACACCGTGGAAGGTTGTTTCTTGAGAAACCTGAAAAGGGAGATAGATTAGTGTTGGTCTTGGAGACCTGGGAGCGTGACTGCATAGACCAAGGGACAACTGCTTGAGTCCGGTCACGCACAGCCTTTTTATGAAAAGATTTTTGAGGATTAGCTCAGCTCTTAAAGGCCCTTAGTGGGCACCCTTACCCAAGGAGACGGAAATCCGTGAGTTAGGGGAGGTGTGACATTGTTAGGGCCGACCTTTTCTAACCCTTCCTTCCTTGTGAGAAGGCAGCATCGCTGCAGATGCTGGTTATCCGAGGGAAACACCTTACTGCTGTCACACCCCTCTGCAGTCAGAAGTACGACTTCGTCCTCAGACCTTGGGTAGCTGGTTTTAGTCTCATCGTTCTGCAATCGACCTGCCTGGCATGGTAGGACCTGCAGGAACACATGTTCCAGCCAGTATAGCTCGGTTGGGTGATCACGATAGGCAAGCCCGACCACCACGTCAAGGTAGCAGCTGCGGTCGGTGCTAATGTGTAGCATTCCAATTAGATTTAATTCGTAAGGTAAAGTCATTTCAGAAA